TTATTATTACTATTATTATTATTTTCATGTAGAGTGAGTTCAATAATTACTGAGTGAGAGGTTTGTATCCAGTATCTACATCTGTCTGATGGGATGGGAGGATGTGTCTGTCTGATGGGACGATGTATCTGTTTGATGGGGCGATGTATCTGTTTGATGGGACGATGTATCTGTTTGATGGGACGATGTATCTGTTTGATGGGACGATGTATCTGTCTGATGGGACGATGTATCTGTCTGATGGGACGATGTATCTGTCTGATGGGACGATGTATCTGTCGGATGTATCTGTTTGATGTGTCTGTCTGATGGGATGATAATCTCAATGAGTACGGGTTGGCTCTGACAGGAAGGGTCGTCCCAGTCGTCCCAGCTGACCTCTATAATGATGATATATTATTGTATTGTATCAGTGTGAGTGGGGAACATTCATAGTTAATCGACCGTAAAGTCTTTTGTTTCCGCCCACTGATAACATCGATCGCTCCTTCTCATCCCATGTGTGTGATGTGCTCCATATTTCCTCTCAAACATCAGTCGTTCCTGTTTCTCCTTCGTCGCTTTTGGGTTTTTTTTGGTTTGTTTTGTTTGTTTTGTTGTTGTTGTTTTTTTTGTTTCTGAGTTTGTTGATTGTTATTTCTTTGTTAAGAATTGTGATTTATTTATTTATCTATTTATTTATATTTTTTTAGAAAATAATTTTATTGTATTCTTTTTATTTATTTATTTATTTGATCTTATTTTATTTATTTTTTTTTTTAATTTAATGGGGGTTTTTTTGGGTTTTTTTTTTGGGGGGGGGGTTCTTTACTCTGAAGTAACGCCTCTAATCTTCGGCACTTGACTTAAATGAACGATGTGTGTTGCAAGTAATGTAAAATTCCTGACTTGACAAACATTCCCTACCTTCCTCAGGTGTTCACCGTGGATAAGATCAGCAGTTTGAGCAGCTCCCAGGCCAATGCCGTGACCCAAGACCAGCTCAACTCTCTCAGCGCTGACCAGCTCTCGGCGGTCACAGCAGTCGCCACTACCACTACGGCCGGA